TTTAATTTAAAAAATGTTTATTTAAGTGTACATTATTAATTTCAATTTTTTATTTTTTCATTCATTTAATAATTATAAATAATTACATTTATTTTTTCCATGTGTAATATTTATAGAAATATTTATAAAATATTATTGCAAATATTAATTTTTTGTCTATTATAAATATTGTATAAAATATATTTAATCTATATTTTAATAACATTTTGAATAAAGATTTTGATACTTTTCCCTTTATGTATATAAAAAATATTTATAAAATATTTATGTAATATGTTTAAAAAATAATTCGAAATAAATATCTATAAATATTTGTCATAAATATTGTATGCTGTTTGGGGAGACGCTTCTAATCCCTTATAGAAATATCATATTAAAAATCATTGATAATTACTTATTTTTAGTATTAAAAATACTGGATAATAAGTAATTATCAATGATTCTTAGTATGATATTTCTATAAGGGATATTGATAATTAAATGAGGTCTTTGTTGAAGATTTCCAGATGGGTTGCTTACGTAAAACTTTATATATGAAAATCCATATAAGAATTCACATAGGAATTAAAATTCCTTATAGGTATCCGTACAGTTATTCATATGGATTTTTAAACACTACATATATTCCTACATGGATTTTTATTTTCCATATTGACTACTATATGAACTTTGATTTTCCATGTAGATTTCTATATGGATTTCGAATTTCCAGATGGTTGCCTATATGGATTTTAATTTCCTACATGGATTTTAAATTTCCTGTATAGATTCCCATGGATTGTTGTGGGAATCCACCTGAAATTTTTCAACAGGGAGACCACATGTTTTCAACAGGGAAACCACATATACTTATGAAAATAAAAATTGAAATGATTAATCATTCGCATTTGATGTAAACTTCTTGATATGATTACTTTTATTTTAATTATTTAGAAGACGGTCCTTATCTTCAATTTCGCTTAAACTCAACTATCTTATGTATTTCGATGCGTAGAAGCCGAATCTGAAAGTTAAAATCGTCGCTTGGCTCTACAAACCGAGAAATTAATTGTTAAAGATGCTAGGTATAATAGGTAAGAAAACCTGTCATTGCAATGTAGTCTGTTCGTAGAGTTGCCTTTTCTGTACTAGTGCAGTAAGTACTGCAATATCGAATGACGAGCGGGGGACAGTGCCCTCCGCACCCTCCTAAAAACTAACCTAACCCAACCTATCGTCACATTACCCGTCAGTCATTGTTTATTAAAATGTTCAACTTTATTTCTTAATAATTTTTTAATAAACTGACTGATAAATAAAATAAATAAAATAACTGGAAAATAAAATGACTGACGGTTAATGTGACGATAGGTTAGGTTAGGTTAGTTTTTAAGGGAGGTGCGGGGGGTGCAGTTCCCCGCTCGTCGTTCGATATTTTTCTCGTGTTACAAATGTTAAAAATGTAAAAAATATTCTTAATTTAAATATTTTTATTAAGTAAGTATAGGCAAATATTTTACACAGATTCAATAAGAAAAAATTAGTAGATTTTATAATGCAGCATAGTGTTTTGGCACCTACAATAAAGTACAATAAACGTTATAATATGAATATTAATAAAAACATTAATATTTCAATATATAATAATGTTTTTTTTTTAATTTTCCACTTGAATCAAAGTGGAGGGCGTCCTTAACTTCCTCAGTGGAGATACGGTTATCTGACGCCTGTGGGAATGCGAATGGGAAGTAAATTTTAGTTTAATAGTTATATCATATAATTCTTCCCAATCTCTTTACAAAGTCTGTCAATATTTGCACCTTCTTCGAATCTTCTCTCTTCAATAGCTTCACAACGCTGATCCTTCCCCCTCGATGCCTCGACTCATTAATCATCTCCCCATAACCTCTCGATCCTCATCGTATGTACTGCACCACCAAATCACATGATCAATATCCCCTCGCTCATAGCCGCACGTACATCTTTCATCATTTACATAATTTTCTCTAGCCAGTGAGGCGTTCAAGTTATAGTGATTGGCTCTAATTTTATTAATAAAAGTTATATTGTATCTATTCCAATTATATTTATCAAACCAAGGTTTCTTTTTTCCGCCTTATAAAAGTTATCAAAATAGAATATGTATATTGCTTCTCTCTGAACTCTCTCTTGTGTACTATCCCACCCCTCCTCCCTAAAGCCTCTTCGGAAGTCACCAATAGGTGTTTCCACACCCACCATAACTTCCTCCTCCACTCCGCTCTTAGCCAGATAATCCGTCAGCTTATTGTGATTCTACAATGAGATGGGATCCACACCATCAAAACCTCCACATTTCTCTCTATCTTAAAACGACTATATTATCTTCTTATTTCCAGAACATATTGATTTTGATATATATTGATTTTATTATTAATAATTGCTTTCAGTACTGATTCACAATTCGACATTACAATTACACTTCCATCTCGAAAACCCTCACGATATATCAACTCCAGTGCTGTCCTTACCGCGAACGCCTCAGACGTATATGACGAGCATAGCTTTGGAAGATTAACATAGAAGCCTTCATTTTAATCCTCCACAACAATTCTAGCTCCCGCAGAGATGGATCTCTCAGATCTTGATCCGTCTGTATAAGTTATCCTCGTGTTTGCGCTCAAATTGTACTTTGACTTAATGGATTATATTGTTTTAATATCTCGATTATTATATCCTTGTAGAGTATTAATATTAATTTTCTTATTAATATCCTTATTACTAAGTAAACTTATATCTGAACCTATTTCATATTAAACCTTAATACGTTCTGAAATATCCCAGTATTCTAGATCCCAGTATTCTAGATCCCAGTACTCTAAATCCCAGTACTCTAGATCCCAGTACTCTAGATCCCATATCTCGTACGAATTCTCTAAGTTACCTAGTTTTTCCCTAATTTAATAACATTATTCCATGCTAAATCTAACACGCAGTTTTTAATCATAGGATTTCTGTATCTTGCAAACATTACGTATCTTATTAAATTGTTTAAGCTACCTTTTAATTCTTGAGCGCCATATTTAAGGACTTTGATACAAAAATCTTTTGCTAATAAAATAGCTCTATCTCTAAGATATGTACCTTTAGCTTCTGTTATTAACACATTTGTTGATGTGCTATTTTTATAGCCTAGCGCCGTGCGAATATCTAAGTATTGTCCTCTTTCAAGTTTCAATTGTAAATTGTATTTTGGGCATAAAAAAAGAGCCCATAATCGATAACCGACCTGACGAGGCTTTTGTATAACGTTAACGCTGTATTGACTTCTATCCCTCTCGATACATTACTAAGATATTTCAATATTGAATTAGTCTTTTCAATTTTTCCTCTAATAATTTGTATTTGTTTATTAAAAGTTAGTTTTGTATCGAACCAAATTCCAAGGAATTTCGTTTTTTATTAGGGACTCTTATATCCTTGATCCTAATAAATAGTTTATATCTTAAGTTTATATCCTGCCTTATTAAACTCGATGAGTGTTTTTTTTTTGGTTCTAGATCTAAACTGAGCTTCTCTATATTTTTTGCCATTGTGTTAACAGCTACTTCGAACAAAATCCTGTTATCATCCCGTGAATTTATGTAATTGCTATATCGTCTGCGAATTAAACTACCTTAATATTATCCTGTATTTTATCCGTTATTTTATTTGTGTATAACGCATATAAAATTGAGCTGAGTACGACACCTTAGTGGAAGCCCCTTATTGACATGTCTGTTAGTAACAATCTGACTATTAATTACAAAATCTGTACTTCTAGTTTTGAGCTAATTACCAATAAACTTTATTAGACCAAATGAGCAATTTTCCTCTTTCAGTTTTTTCAATAAGATTTCAAAATCAACGTTGTCATATGCCAAGGACATATCCAAAAGTGCCGCCAACGCATATTTATTAGTCAACAACGAACTTCTGATATCTGCCATGAATTTTGCGAGGTTTCCTCGGAATTCCTTGGAATTTGGTTCGATACAAAACTAACTTTTAATAAACAAATACAAATTATTAGAGGAAAAATTGAAAAGACTAATTCAATATTGAAATATCTTAGTAATGTATCGAGAGGGATAGAAGTCAATACAGCGTTAACGTTATACAAAAGCCTCGTCAGGTCGGTTATCGATTATGGGCTCTTTTTTTATGCCCAAAATACAATTTACAATTGAAACTTGAAAGAGGACAATACTTAGATATTCGCACGGCGCTAGGCTATAGAAATAGCATACCAACAAATGTGTTAATAACAGAAGCTAAAGGTATATATCTTAGAGATAGAGCTATTTTATTAGCAAAAGATTTTGCAAGGTTTTCCGAATAGGATTTGCCTCTTCTAAAGCCGTTCTGCATTGAGTGTAATTTCTTCTCTCTTTCAATCCACCATACTAATCTTTCATTGACCATACATTCCATAACCTTGCCTATACATGATGATAATGCTATGGGTCTTACTTTTTCTTTCCCAATTTTGTCAATAAAAATAACTTGATATCTATGCCAATCATCTGGTATATCATCACAATTCGAAATACCATTGTAAATTCGTAGTAAGATTTGTAACGCATTTTCTGGGAGAAACTTGATCATTTTGTAATCTATGCCATCCAGTCCCGGAGCCGAATCTCTTCTCACTATATTCAATGCTCTTCTCTTTCAATTCATCCTTCTTAAATTCCCAGTTTAACTTTGGATAATGTTCCCTATATTCTTGATCATTAATTTCCAAATGAGGATCTCGCAAAACCCACGGAGGCGGAGATTTCATCTATCGTATCATAGATTTCCATCTCCCTATCCTTGGATTGCCATACGTTCCAATTAATTCATTTTTTAATATTTTTGAAGATAAGCATAGTATTCCATACATACGATAAGCTTATATGTTTACTTATATTATTACAGAATCTATGAAATTCTCGTTTCTTGTTATTAAAAGTTTTTCTGGCCAAAGCTCTAACTCTTTTATATTCTATATAATCTACCTGACTTCCAGAATGAGTCCACCTGTTAAGTTTCTTCTTTCTCAATTTGAATATCTCATCACAATCCTTGTCCCACGAAACCTGTTGACATTGTTTCTTCTTGTTCTCCCTAGCTACAGGATGATGAATTTCAGGTTTTGAGTTGTTATGTTGTTTTCCGGAGGCCTTTATAATTGCTTGTTTGATTGTCTTGATAAACTTTTGGTACTGTAAAAAAGTTTCATCTTTGGTTGATATGTCAATATCTGTCCATTCTTTACATGCCTCTTCTACATTTGTCGTATACTGTTTCCAATTCGTAAATATGTTAGAGAGTCTATTAGTTTTCTTACGGTATGGAACATATATGGTTTCCAATGTACGTACTATGAGATAATGGTCCAATCCCTATGTATCATTTAACTATTGATGATCAATTTGATTGATAATATTACCGTTAGCAAATATGAAATCCAAATTGCCCGTTATCATAATCAAGTTATAATTAAGTCTTGAGTGTATTATCATTGATACAAATATATCCCTTATTAAACATAGTCTCATATAATTTTTCCCTGTTGCTATCTGTGTCTTCACAATTCCAATGGTTATGGTGAGCGTTAAAGTCTCTCACAATCAACGTGTCCTCTGCTACTCCTTTAAATTTAAGTAATCTTTGCCATGTCAACACTGATTCCGTATCTCTTGGTTTTCTACATACGGCTACTATATTAAATCTACTACAAGCGTTTTTTATTCTAATGCCTATAATGTCAAAATTATCAAAGTTAACCTTCCAATCTTCCAATAATCGAAAACTCTATTTTATCTTTAACTAAAATTGCCATTCCTCCGCTATTATTATTTAGATTATTTGATTTATACGTTTTAAAACCTGAATAATATAAACATTTATCCTTGTTAACTTTAGTTTCTGTCAATATTACTAAATCGTACGGGTTTAAAGATTTGCTAAATTCCGCTTTTTTGTTTATTACCCCTCTTGCATTCCAAACGAGAATTTTAGACATTTTTCTGCCAAATATTATCGTTGCCTTCCCTTCAGCCAATAATCTCTCTTTATTTATCTATTTCACTTCAGCCAATAATCTCTCTTTATTTCAGTTGACATCCTTTATAGAAATATCATACTAAGAATCATTGATAATTACTTATTATCCAGTATTTTTAATACTGAAAATAAGTAATTATCAATGATTCTTAGTATGATATTTCTATAAGGGATAACTTTTAATTTCTCGAGTTCCTCTCGAATTTTCTCCCATCTCATTATTTTCCTCTCTCTCATTCCCTTATAGAAATATCATACTAAGAAATACTGAAAAATTATTAGTGATTAAATATTACCAGTAATTCAGTAATTTTTTGGCCAGTACTTAATTTCTGGTGAATACTGATAATAAAATCACTGTTAAATATTGATAGTAATCAAATATTGAGAATTATTATGCAAAGGTGAAAAATGAGAAAATCATAATGTTTACAAAAATATACTTATATTTCTAATTTTCTCATGTTTCATAAACTACTAGATATATCGAAGGTTGTCAACACATTCCAAACTTTCATGAATCCTCCTGCGATAATTTCGATCCCAAGCGGTATACCATTGGTCATCACCCATGTCCTTGACCGCATTAAACTGTTGCTTAAATCTGACGATCGAGCGCGCACGCGGTGACTCTGATGACTCCAACGATGTTCTTACAATTCATGCTTATATAATGTATCCTTATAGTGTTCACAGTATATTATAACATACCTAGCAAACACCAAATAATAGTTATATAATTTTTACTTATTTATTTGATAATTTGTTGATAGATATTGAAACAATGCAACATTCGATATGCGATGAATATTGATGTAATGTAGTGAACCAGTGATAATTACTTTTACATTTTTAACAAAATGTTATAATGATTAATCCAACAAAAAAAAAATTAAAAAATCCAAGAAAATCCAAATTAAACAAATCGAATTACTAAATTTTGAGAAACTTTTAAAAAGTATTATTTAAAACAATAGTGTTGTTTTATCAAATGACATGGTTTTCTTGAACGAAATAAAAGTTTTATTTTCATCATTTTAAAAAATGATATTTCGTTTAAGAATATAATATTTTAAT